GATCAAAGTATTTGTATGTTCATTGATGCTCCCTTCTGCAGTGTTGGTATCTGGTTGTCATTCTAACCTAACTTCACTACTTCACAGTCGCTGATATGGCCCAATGAAGAGAAAAGCATCCAAGAGGTGCTGGGATTTTAATGTAAGTTTTTACAAATTACTGAAAGGACAAAAACATTTTGAGAGCTCATTGACAAGTGTACCCTCCAATGGGTACTCCAGCAGGTTACCAGAAGAAAAAAATGTACTAATGAAAGTAGCACACCAGACCAAAAAATAAGAGTCAAAATTCATTTTTTAGTGTATATTAAAAAAACATCAAATGTGTTTCAAGGGTCAGAAAAAGCCATCAGGGCTTCAGTTAAAGGATAAAAAAAGTCTAAATTCATGTATTAGTTTATACTAAAAATAATGCATTTCGGGGATCAGAAAAAACTCCCCCTTTATCAGGGCTTCAGTTAGGATGGAAACCTTAAATGGACTCAAAATATAGCTTTCCTGTTTGAATCTGTGTAGGGAAGTTAATTGCTGGATCAGGAGAGTTACTGACCAGCAGTTTGCATGTGAGCACTCAAGATCCTTGATGGCCGTTTATCGTAATTGCCATTGCCATTGTATTTCCTCTGCGCAGGCAGCCCAGGTGCAGTGCACAGCCTGTCATTGATGTGAATGGCTTTGCACTGATGTACTTGTGCATATAGCACTGGAATGGTGCTGCTGGAGGCTGCCTAGCGGCAAGTTATGGTGTGGGGGTATAGAGGGAATCTCTTCCAGTGGGTTATATCCCAAATATAGGTGTTGAGTAATAGACTCTGTTGGGGTCTAGGGCTGATACCTTTCTGATAACGTCAAAGGAGGTGTTAAACACATGGAACACGTATGTGGTTGACTCTCCTCTCCAATCACCCAAGAATCATAAACTCAGTCCAGCATATGGGCATATGCCCATACATAGTACTTGGGTTTATGATTACACCAACATCTACATGAGTACAACAGTGCACAGCCATTCATGTCAATGCAAGCTGTATGCTACACCTGGACTGCCTGGGAGGAAGAAATACACTGCCAATTATGCAGTATTGATTGAGCCAATCCATTTACAAGAGTCCTAAAAATCAGAGACTCACTGAGGCCACCACTTGGATAATCTGCATGACAGCCAGGGAGGCTGCATAATCTCAAACACATTGGCAATGGAATTACCTATACATCCTCCTTTAGAGACTTTCACACTTACCTGTTCCATTGCAATGCTTTACAAATCTGCTCATTAACGTGCATGCATTAAGGCAGCCTATTTATTTAGAATGGGCTGCCATTGCAAAAACTGGCACTGTACCTTTTTAACACAAGCTATTCACATTATGTGAGATGTGGTGCAATGCATTGCGAGTCCGTCAACACCAACTATGTAGTGCATTGGGGTACCATTCTAAATGAATGGCACCTGAATGCAAAAGTTTGAAGAGACCTTTAAACATTGATTAAAAATGGGAATGAATATTCATCAGGTACAGTAAAGCATATCAGAAGAATACACAAGCTATCGAGTCTGGATGTGAACAAGGCAGTTAACACAAGTAAAGCATCACTTACATTTTCAATAATGAGAGAATTTGATAAATTATCCCCAGAATAGGGATTCATATTACACAGAGCTGTGTCCAGTCTACAAACTGCAGCGATTTATCTTACTTACCTTGATTTGGATTTTCACCTTCAGCTTTCAGTAGAAATAAAGGAGAAAAAGTCAAGTCTATCTACCATATATAAAATTCGGCCAGAGCAATGATTTTCAGCTTATTTTAAACAATAAAGTTTTACAAAGTTTTACGAAAATCTCATCAAGTATGCCAGACAGCATTTGTATTCTTGAATTGTTTTGTGTGCTTTTCATTTTCAATATTCTTCCATGCCTGACGAAGAGATGGCTTGTATTTCAGTCAATAAACAGCATCACTTTAACCCAACCAGTAAACCCAGAATGCATGCAAATGTATGCATAAAACCTTCTCCCATCTTCGTAAAATGTGAGTCTTTTTTTATAGCAATAATATAATGGAGCTCATAGACATTAGATGATCATCGCCCAGTCAGGTTAGATCCGGCATGTCTGTGGATGCATTAAGACCTCTACAGACTGCCAGCAGAAGGGGGAGAGAGAGAAAATGTAATGAAGATGTTTGCTATGCACAAAGACTTGTACTGTACAAGTGTACATCTCCTTCTTTTATTCACTCACATAGCTTTAGAAAAAACTTTACAGAGTACATAGACCAATATCATTTTCTTTTCCCTAAACAGATTAAATGCATCTGTTCTTATAGGACAAACAGCTATTTCAGCCTATAATAAGTAGGCAAATAAGGAGGTGAGCGCATAATAGAGGAACAATTATCCTGAAGCCATCTTATGTGTTGGAACAAATCCATACATTAACATTGAAGAACTATTTATTTAAATATTATGTTGGACACTGGTTGATGTGATATATCGTTTTTTGGTTATGGGATTGGATGATTATTTAAGTCACTAATATACTTGTTTATATTCAGGTTAATTATATAGAGCATTTGTGGATTTATAAATCACAAGTGTAGGATTTATAAATTCAAAAATACTTTTTGGTACACTAATTTATATATAATTTTTAGTACATCAATTATTCAGTAAGGGAGCGCTGCACTATGGTTTGAATATTTAGAATTAATACCACTATTTATGAGTTGGTGTAGGGTGCTAGCGAACCTGTTTTCACATATATATAAATTATTTTTTATATATATAATTCATTTCTGGTAGTAAATAACACATTTTTTGATTTTCACCATATTAGCTCACAAGTAATTTTGGCACTAATCATCAATATGGTAGCTTCATTAGTTTTCTTTTTTTTTTAGGGTCCATGCACACTGGGCTTAACCACTAGCCTACAGGGCACTGATACCCCCTTCCCTGCCCAGGCCAATTTCCAGCTTTCAGCGCTGTTGCACTTTGAATGACAATTGCGCAATCAAACAACACTGTACCCATATGAAATTTTTATCATTTTTTTGTGACAGATAGAGCTTTCTTTTGGTGGTATTTAATCACCTCTGTTTTTTTTTTTTCTTAAACAAACCAAAAATCACTGAAAATGTTTTAAAAAAAAGTTTTTTCTTAGTTTTTGTTATAAAATGTTGTAAATAAGTGATTTTTCTCCTCTACTGATGTGCGCTAATGAGGCTGCAGTGATGGACACTGATTGGCTGCACTGATGGACACTGATAGCTGGCACTGATGGGCACTGATGAGGAGGCACTTGTAGGTGGCACTGATGGCATTGACATGCATCACTGATGGGCACTGAAAGGCAGCACTGATATATGGCACTGATAGGCGGCACTAATAGGCGGCACTGACTGGCACTGGTAGGTGGCACTGATGGGCACTGTTAGGCAGCACTGACGAGCACTGATAGGAGGCACTGATGCACACTGACAGGTGTCACTGACTGGCACTGATAGGCGCACTGACTGGCACTGATAGGTGGCACTGACTGGCAGCACTGATAGGTGGCACTGACTGGCATTGATAGGTGGCACTGACTGGCACTGATGGGTGACACTGAAAGGCAGCTCAGATGGGCACTGATATGTGGCATTGATGTGCACTGGTAGGCACTGAAATGTGGCATTGATGTGGCACTGATGGGCACTGGCAGGTGGCATGGATGAGCACTGACAGCTGACACTGATGGACACTGACAGGTGGCACTGCTGGGGCTACACAGATCATCAGGGCACACTGATCATCAGTGCCCTGATGATCAGTGTACATGTCCCCTCTGAGGGATGCCAATTACCGTCTCTCGTCTCCTCTCTAGCTGTCAGCGTGACAGCTCGTGAGGAGGGAAATGCAGATAACCGGCATTTCCCTATTTACATGCGATCGGCTGTGATTGGACACAGCTGATCACATGACCGAGCCGACATCTTCGGCTCTTTCCATTGATCGGTGATCCGCTGTGTCAGAGGGAAACAGCTCACCGCCGATCACCGCGGAGCCGCGCATGCACGGTTAGAATGAGAGAACCACCTTGCACCTGTCATTGTACTATATGGCAGGCGGGAGGCGGTTAAAAAAACGCCAGTGCTCTTGACAGAAAAGAAAAGTTCATTTTTAGCGTTTTTTTTTCTACTAGCATTAAGGAGCGTTTAGTGTTTTATTCTGCCAGAAAACAGCTCTCAAAAATGCAAAAAAGTTTTTTTTCCTGCCCTTAAACACTGAGCTTAAAATATGCCTCTAAACGACCTAAATTGCGTGGACACATAGGATAACATTAGTTGCTTCTACAAGTAAAATGTAAACTTCACTAGGAGCAGCATTTCTTAAGCCGGTGTGCATGGACCCTTAGGATTTATTTTTCTTTATTTTTACCTGGTGATCCGGCCAGTAATGCATTTTCTTCTTAGGGTGTCTCCACTCCACTGGAGGAGCAATGGAGACACCTTTGGACAGTGGCTTTCTCATTCTAGGGAGAGGGTAGATATGCTTGCAGATTTAGATAACTGATTGAAAGCCTGCAACAGGAACATAGACAGCAATAACAATTGGATCATGCTTTGCTGGGTTTTTTTTTCCTTCCTCTGGATCAATTGTGGGTATAGGATTATAACTTTTTTTTTTTTAAATGTTTTTTTTTTTTAATGGTTGAACTGGATGGACTTTTGTCTTTATTCAGCCAGAATAACTATGTAACAATCGAACAGGGATTCCAGCCCTTTTTGGCTTGGCATACACTTCAAAGCCCAACTTAAACACAAAAAATAACCCTTGCAGTGAATACCCCCCTCCAACTTGAAGGGCTAAGGGCTCATCAAGTCTCGGGGTTGCAGAAGAGGCTATTTTACTTACCTAATGTTCATTTTAGCAGGTTCCCTCAATCTGCGGAACCAGTTCACCTCAGCCTCCTCTGTAAGCTGCTTCTAGCTATGATTGCACTCCGGCCTCCATCAGGTACAATATATGGTGAATAGCCCTGCACTGTATTTGATGACATTGGGGTTCCACCCACAAATCTGAGCAGTATAAATAATAGAGCCGAAATAAACAAAATGATGCTCCAGGTTGGCCCGCACCACAAGATTCTATATCCCACTTCTAAAGGGTGTTTGCCCAGCTCACAACTGCACCAGATGACAACAGAACAGATCCAGATGACTGCACTCCTTAGGTCTGTTAACCTCCTTGGCGGTATGATTCTTTCCGATTTTTGGTGCTGAAAGCGGTACATTTTTTTGCATGGGAATATGTAGTTTTTTATTGTAGGCTGTAATTTGTAGGAATAACTCACTGAAATCTGTCCGAACAAGAGTCTAGTAAACATCCCAGATATGATAAAACTTGAAACACGAAATCATAAATTATAATTTAATAAATAATCATAAAAAATAATAATATAATAATAAATTTAATTCAATAATATAATCAAACCAAAAACACTGAAATTTGAAATACAGAGGCAAATTCGCACATCACTGAGCAAAGTCGCAAAATCGTTTTCAGTGTCTGACGAGGAATTTCCCCACAAATCATTATCACTCAATTCTGCAAGTGGTTCTGATTTACTATCGCTGTTCTAAAACCGCTTTTGACGTAAAGGGACGCTTTTTGGACTCCATGAACTTTTCTAAGTTTCCCGGGCAGAAAGAACAGTCAAAATGCAGGCAGGGCGCCGAACAAAGCAGTAGGGACAAAATGTATGTGAAATGCATTGAAACAGCAATGACAGCAAAAATGACATTTTTTAAAAATTTCAAATTTCCGACGTCACAGGGACCGGAACACGGAAGCCGGATGCCGGCATCGGCCGGAGGAGATGGCCGGGGACGCTGCAGGGGACACATCGCAGGAGTGAAGGACAAGGTAAGTGCTGCAGGGACCCCCTGAGCAACGCTGCATGGTAAGCCCGAGTGTAGCTCGGGGTTACTGCTTTTGGTACTCAAATTTTACCCCGAGCTACACTCGGCAATACCGCCAGGGAGGTTAAAAAGCCATTTTTATTTCACATAATAGTCCATAAAACCACTAAACTCACAGTGGGGGAGTTGAGCAATAGAATAGTAACTCCCTGGACTCAATAAGCATGTACCCTTCCATTGGGGAAGGATGGGGGGCACTGCAGCATTGCAAAGAGTTTTTTTTGCCCAGAGTTAGGCTTTAAGGTACAGTATATTTAATTTGATTTAATTTAATTTTCCCTTTGCTACTGTTATAGATCAAGGAGAGAGTCAGCTATCAGCACTGAGCTCAGGTAGAACAGATGACAGCCTCTGTGAGGTTTACTGCTGACTTTCAGAGCAGAAACTATCTGTGACCAGTAAGGCTGCAATATCATAACACTATGAATATTCTCTTTATTAAAAATCTGTATTCATGACTAAAATACAAATTATTCATCCATTTGAGACCCCATTTAGGAAAAACCCAAACAGATAAATATTCAATGTTTGGCAGATGCTAATGCGTGATTCACACGCTATTTTCTTAAATCTCTCAGGTACTTCATTAATTCTGTACCTGAGTTCCCTGGCCAGACCACTACTTGCAACCATCGTAAGGAGATCTTGTTATGCCTGTTAGAGATTTTATGGATTTCACATTAAAGAAAATGTAACAGACTTTACACAATTACCCATGTTGTGGCAATAGGAGTGAGATACCAAGGTTGGGAATGGCCAACTGAAAATCTGCTGGAGTGTTTAAAAATATAAGAAGCCAGGGTATCTGTCCCATCCAGCCTGCTACAAGATTTTATCTCTGGCCCACAGCAACTGTCTGTGAAAAGTCCCTGGATGGGTGGCTGGCAGTGTATGCATCACTCTGTGTGTTATAGTACGGAGAATGGTGCACCAATTGCCTACCAGCCAGCCATGACCCTCCCTTAATCTCCCTGATGGGCATTCCTAGATGTAAGGTAGACTCTGATAGGCACTAATGGATACAAAGAAGTACTTTGATGGGCACACTTGGATACAAGGGGGTACTCTGATGGGCACTCCTGGATACAAGGGGGTACTCTGATGGGTATTCCTGGATAAAAGGGGGTACTCTGATAGGCACTTCTGGATGCAAGGAGAGATTTTGATGGGTACTCCTGGATATAAGGGGCACTCTGATAAGCACTCCTGGATACAAGGGGGTACTCTGATGGGCACTCCTAGATACAAGGTTGGTACTCTGATGGGCACTCCTAGATACAAGGGGGTGCTCTGATGGGCACTCCTGGATACAAGGGGATATTCTGATGGGCACTCCTGGATACAAGGGGGTACTCTGATGGGCACTCCTGGATACAAGGGGGTGCTTTGATGGGCACTCCAGGAACTCTGATGGGTAATACTGGATGTAAGGTAGACTCTGCTAAGTACTCCTGGATATAAGTGGGTACTCTGATGGGCACTCCTGGATATAAGTGGGTACTCTGATATTCCTGGATGTAAGGGGGGGGGGATTCTGAGAGGCACTACTGGATTTAAGTGGGTTTCCAGAATGTGATGTGTGTACAGAAAAGTTTAGGGACCCCTGCTTTATGTTTTCCTCTACACATTATTTTATATCAGCTGTATAAATTTATCATTGTAACAAAAATGGAAAAAATGTTTCAATTATGGTTGAGGAAAGATGAGAGTAATCATTAAAAGATTTGGACAAGAATGTAGTGAGGAGTATGCATGAAAACACTTTTTCATAGTATTTGTGACACCTTTTGTACACAAACCATAGTATAGTGCATAGCAATGGCAGCATGAAGAGCAATGTCTATTGATGAAAGAGCAGGAGGATCAATGAAAAACAAATATTATAAATCAATAGGAATGAGCTGTCCTTGGTGAAAGTCAAGCTCTGGCTTAGAAAAGGCATTACATTGTATTGTGCATTCCTGTATTGTGTGCATGAAAGTTTCATCACACACCTCTGGATATACCCTGTCACCTCTGTACAACACCCATTCACATGCTGTGTGCAGTTGCCATCTCAACTTGAGCAGCTTCACTGATTCAGATCCACAGCTCTAATGAAAGTATATCTGAAACCATTACAGCACTCTGACGTCAGTGAGATTTCATTGTCGCAAGTCAATACCTTTCCAGTATCTTGCTTCTACTTAACCCTTTTCCATCCCCAAAACTCCAGAACAGTTAAAGCTAGTGTTCTACTCTCCTGCACTTTCTTTAGCCCTAGAATGTTGTACTCTGCATACACCAGAGGCTTTTTCTTAAAAATGACATTTTCCCTGCCCAGATTACCAACACAATTGGATTTAAAGTGATCGCAAACCTTACTGATCAATAGAATAGATTTGAAACACAATCTTTCAAAGCTTAGCAGTAGAAATTTAAAGTGGTATTAAACCCCATAAATATAAATGTAGTATATTGCAGCATACCAATCCTTAGATTGAGCATTTTTTAGGTTGTATTTCTTTACTTTCACCTGGTCATCCAGTAACATACTTTCTGTCTAAGGTCTTTTTCACATGAAGGGTTCAATCGGGTCTGCCTGTCAGTTTTGCACGCAGACCTAATCGGATGGTTCATGCACCTCTATGGACAGGCAGATGTAAACAGACTTGTGTCTGTTTACACTCGCCTACCTCTAATCCAATCTGGTCCACAAAGAAAAAAACACAAAAGGTGATCAATTCCCATCCATCTAGGCCAGTGGTTCTCAACCTTCCTAATGCCGTGACCCTTTAATACAGTTCCTCATGTTGTGGTGACCCCCAACCATAAAATTATTTACCCCGTAATTATAATTCATGAGTGTCGTTTTACCTCCAATACTGCTGCTTTCAACACAGTAGCTGCTTTTAACACAGCAGCTGCTTTCTACACAGTAGCTGCTTTTTACACATCGGAAATGTGTTTTCT